AAGATATATTCAAAGTCCTGAATGAAAAAAAGATGCAGCCTAGGATACTCTACCCAGCAAGGCTATCCTTTAGAAGGAGAGATAAAGAACTTCACAGACAAGCAAAAAATAAAAGAGCTTATTAGCAACACTAAATCTATGCTAAAAGAAATATTGACAGGTCTACTGTAAATAGAAAAGAAGCAGGATGCTACAAAAATGAGAAACTCATAACTTGAAAGGAGAAAACTGCCATGAATTACAAAAAGAATAAACACAAAATTGTAAAAGAATACATTTAAATTATTAAGAGTGGGAGAGGAAGCAAAGAAAGCCACTGTGGAAAACAGTATGGAGATTCCTCAAAAGACTAGGAATAGACTTACCATATGACCCGTCATCCCACTCCTGGGCATATATACAGAAGGAACCCTACTTCAAAATGACACCTGCACCCCAATGTTCATAGCAGCACTATTTACAGTAGCCAAGACATGGAAACAGCTTAAATGTCCATCAACAGATGACTGAGCAAAGAAGAGGTGGTATATTTACATGATGGAATACTATTCAGCCATAAAAACTGACAACTTAATGCCATTTGCAGGAACATGGATGTTCCTGGAGAATGTCATTCTAAGTGAAGTAAGCCAGAAAGAGAAAGAAAAATACCATATGAGATCGCTCATATGAGGAATCTAAAAACAAAACATAACAAAACAGAAACAGACTCATAGACATAGAAGACAAACTTGTGGTTGCCAAGGAAGCGGGGGTTGGGAAGGGAAAGACTGGGATTTTAAAATGCAGAATAGATAAACAAGATTATATTGTATAGCACAGGGAAATATAAACAAGATCTTGTGGTAGCTCATAGCAGAAAAAAAATATGACAATGGATATATGTATGTTCATGTATAACTGAGAAATTGTGCTCTACACTAGAATTTGACATAACATTGTAAAATGACTATTGATAAAAAAATGTTAAAAACGTAAAAAAATAAAATAAAATATCGATACTGGTGATAAAGAAATTGTGAGTTCACTTAGTGTGTTAAATAGTATAATACAATACAACTGAGGAAGTTGAAATTTCAGGCTTCTGTCTTAAAATTATTTTAGAAAAATTCCTCATGTGATAATATAAAATCTACACTTAAATAACAAATGTTATGAGAAATAAATTTTTAGTAATTAAATTTGGTTGGCAGAAAAGCTATCACATACAGTTACGTATGAAGCAGGAGGAAAGGGGGCAGGACACAACCATTGAAGGAATGACACAGCCATTGAGGACAGGACAAACTGATCAGAACCAAGATGGTGGAAGATTAGACTTCCAGTAGACCTGGAGACTCATGGCACACCCATAGGCACCATGACAGTCCCTGGGCTGACCATAAAAGGTCAAAATGTGGGCATGGGGGTGCATTTCCCGGAAATCCTCGCCCCTTCCCCAAAGCAGATGGAATAATCCTCCTACTCTTTAGCATATGAAATTGCCCAGCCCATAAAACCTAACAGTTCTGCACCACGTGGTCACTCTTGCTGTCGCTCTCTCTCTTGACTTTTGAGACAGCCCGCACTCTATGCTGTGTGCATCTACTTTTACTTTAAACTGAACACCCCACACCTCTCAGCTTCTCTCCCTCTCACCTTTCCGAGATGGCCCACACTCTGCCTAAGGAGTGTTATCCCTTAAGCCATTTTCCCTTCTGAGAGAGACAGACTGCACTCTGTCCACGGGGTGTGTATCTCTCTGAATAAACTTGCTTTCACTTTACCATGCCTTGCTCTTGACTTCTTTCCTGCACGAGGCAAGAACCTATTCTCCCCCAACATGTATAAAGAACAATTCAATTCCTCCTATTAAAATTTAAATGGAAATGCAAATCAATTGGAAGCTTCCAAAAAGATCAAATAAATGACTTTCATTTCCAAGTAGAGTGTTACGACAGAAGGATCAAATCACTTTCAGCCTTTAAATAATGCTTATTTAATCTATACTTGAATTTTGTATTAAATACAGATTTTTCTATTAGTTAGCTGTTCATAAACATGAAGGTCAAAAAGTGAAATTTTAGAGTTGAAGTGATGTAACAATGAAATCACTTTATAATTTAAAAATGTTGAGCTTCTGACCCTTTTCATTCACATTACTTCCAACCACATCACATTCCCAAATTATGTCTCATGGGGCTACATAAGAAATGTACATTTGCTTTCCCTTATGAAAATGATTCCCCATGTAACTTTAAAACTTGGGCATATTTTGAGGATTCAGTATGTTCAAAGTTTTTCATGAGAGAACTAGGTTCAGCAAAGTGTAACTTCTATCAGTCTGATGATGTAAACAGTGACTGATTAAGCCCATGCTCCTTTCAGGTTGAAACATCTTAGTGGGGAAAAAAAAGAAAACAAAAATCACAGCTGGAAACCTTCCCAGAAACTTCACTAGATGTCAAAGTAAAAGACCAATCTTCAACAGACACTTAATGAAGACATGGTTCAGGGGGTTTTCTGTTCTGAGATCACTTTGCCCACCAAGAAAAGACAGAAACACTGGATTTCTGCAGTTAAAGTCTGCAGTCAAAGCAGGATAGAAGAAACAGTGAAAAACTTTATTGCTCATTAAATTACTTACAGTGGTTTTCCTTTGGATTCACAAGTCAAAATTAAAGGTTGTCCTTCTTGTGGAAAAGGAGTAGATGGTATAATCTTTACTGATGGTGTATCTAGGAAAAAAAAAAGAAATATTAAGAAAAGTCATTAAACACATAAAAAACTACATATTTAATAATTGTACATCCTGGTGTATGTTCAGCCTAATTGTATATATTTAGAAGGGATATCTTAGATTGGGTGAAAAACAGGGTATGCAATTTTAAGAACCTACTATTCTGTCCAGGAAAAACTAACAAAAATATCTGAATATTTTACGAGTGCCACTGATGTATTACTTCTGAAATCTGAATTTAAAAGCAAAATTGCAAAAAGTGGTTCAGATGAATATCAACCATTTCATACAATTGTTTCTTCAACTATTTATAGATGGCTATGAATACTATTATTATAGACTGAATGCATTTATGTGCATTTGAATAACAACACTTTCATTGTTGCAAGAATACCAGGGACTCACAATAAGGAACCAACAAAGAACTCAAGATCAACTAATGTCTCACAAGCATTATGCAGAATCTTTATGAAAATGCAGTAATGCAGCACTTAGCACATGCTGTTTGCCCTAAAGTACAGTTAGCAAATCATCTGAAATAGCTATTTAGAGTATTACAAACATTTGTTCCATATGCTACAACATAATTGTTATAAAGTTATTTTTATTTAACAATAAAGTCATCCTTGGTGGAAGAGGATGCAAAAACACTTTGACATTTATATTTCTAACTTTTATGCCATGTAATATTCTTTAATCAACAAGAGATACACATTTCATAGAAAAATGAAAAATAAAAGGAAAGATACGCTCTTTCCTTTATGAGACTTTGCTAGTGCATGCTCCATAGTCAATAGGAAAGTATCTCCGCTTATCTTCATATTCTCAACCATAAGCAAACGAGGCTCTGAATGTTCCAGACAGTCACGATTATTCTCACTCTCCCCTCTGTCGTGACAGAAGAACTGAACTACCCTGAGGTTATACTTACTTTCTGACTTAGAAACTAATTAAATAACTATCCATCAACTGTGTCATTTTCAGGTTAGTTATCTTATTTCAGAAAAATATTATTCAGATTTGTCATCTATAGAACAATAAACTCCGATCCTGTGGAAGACCTTACATTATACTTACAAATTACTTATACTTTCCAAATGTATTCTTTCTCAATCCTTTAAAAAAAGAAATGCATTCAAGATAATCAACAATATTTGCTTTACAAATAGCTATTTCATGTACATCATGGAAAATAACTAGTCTGAAGTATAAAACCCAGGAAAAAAATTAATTTGAAGAAATACGACACATATTCATCATAATTTTTAACCAGTAGAAAAAGATGATTTAATAAAGGATTGAAATATACTTCACTAATTTTTCTATTATCATCATCACATTTACAAAATCTATTACTATGATGATCATAAAATTTTGTCTTCCAAGCAGAACATTTTTAAAAGTGAAGAGGGAATAGTAATTTAATATACAGGGTAACAAGAGTGAATCAGAATGATCCTGGGAAAATGAGGACTATCATCTTTTAAACTCTGACCACATATACAAATAGCAACATTTAATTTCATCTTGACATACAAAATAAAGCTTCAATTCCAGAGAAAATGGTGGGAGAAGAAAGATCAGAATAGTGTGATTTTGGGAACAAGAGTTATGTTAACATGTGTGATGATAATTTGATGTGTAATTTTACATGTCACTTGGCTACACCATGGGGTGTCCAGATCTTTGGCCATTCATTCATTATTCTGGGTATTTTAGTGAGAGTGTGTTGGGACAAGATTAACATTTAAATCAGTAGACTGAGCAGCAGATTTCTCTCCTAAGATAGGTAGGGCTTATCTGATAAACTGAAGCCCAGAATAGAACAAAAAGGCAGACCTTCCCACAAAGTCCTCCTGTCCAATGGCATTTGAGCTGATATGTCAGACTCAAACTGGATTTTGAGACTACTGGCTTTCAGGATGGCACTACAGGCCCATCTCTTCTGGTTTCTCTGGCCTTTGGACTCAGACTGGAGCTAAGTCAGCTCTTCTGGGTCCCTAGCTGGCTGACTCAATTTGCAGATCTTGGAATTTGCACCTTTGTAAAAATCCTGTTGATCCGGTTTCTCTGTAGAACCCTGACAAATGTCGAACCCTTACAAACAATCCCTGAGAAATTTCTTTTTCAGGGGGGACCTCAGGGAGCACTGGGAAGTGAGATAGGAAAGGAAGGAAGTAAATAAAGAGTGTATTATTGATAAGAGTCTCAGAAACAGACTCAGAGACCTAGTAAATAAACATGGTCACCAAGGGGGAAGAGGGTGGGAAGGGATAAATTGGAAGTTTGAGATACTGACTACTATATATAAAATAGATAAACAGCACTTTTTTTCTGTTCAATATCATGTAGTCACCTATAATGAAAAAGAATATGAAAACGAATATATGTATGTACGTGTATGACTGAAACATTACGCTGTACACAAAAATTGACAAATCACTGTAAACTGACTATACTTCAATCAAAAAAAATTAAAAAAAAATAGTGTATTATTGAGCAGATTACACCAGGGGCAACTGGGAGTCAGTCCTGCTGTGAAACTCTGAAGACAGTGTAGGGAACGCCTCAGGGTTCTCTTAATTGATGGGTGACGGAGAGGAGTATTGAGGGAATATTGACCAATGCTCATCTGTGTTTGGCTGAGGATTGCTGAGGGTGGGGGTGCGGGTGTTACTTCCCTGGGCCCCTGTCTACTCAGTGCACAGGAATGGTGTGTGCCAAAAGGGCCAGTCACCCCAGCATCTGCCTCAGTGAGCTAAAATACACAGGAGCAGGCAGCTGTTAGAAGAGAGGAAGACAGGATATAATCTCATTTCTCTTAGTTCGGCCTGCTTAGTTTAAGTAGTGTATTAGAGAATTTGTATGACAAATGGTCCCAGAAGCATGGTTCAGCATTCCCATTAGATTCAAAATAAAGAATTTGAATTATAAGCAAATGCTAAAGCAGATAACATGTTTAGCATGTATTTCTATGGAACTTTCAGGAAGATCACCAAATAACCTCAGTTACCAAAATCAAGTCATAGAATACAATACTCTTTTATGGTTTTTGTTTCAAAATTACTCACAATGTTGATTAGTCTCTATTTCTAAGAATTATCTTACACATACATTTTTTAATATTCATCCCCCTTCACTCCCCACCCCCTCCACAGACACACATATATCTGACTTAACTCCTACATTTCTGGCTACTCTTTCTCATATTCTCTTGGGCTATCTTCTTGTACTTAACCTTTAAATATTGAGATTATCAACAATTTGTTCTCACATAATTCTCTCTAGGGCCTTTCAACCACTCCCATCTCTTCAGTTTCTATCTACTCATTAATGACTTCCACATTTATATATTAGAGCAGTTCTTTACCAGAAGCTACACTTATGTATATGCAGCACCTATCTGACATGCCCACTTGGATGTTGAAAAGACATGGCACATTCATATGTCCAAAATAAACTCAAAGTCTCCAGCCCTCTCCTAACATGTTCTTTTTCCAGCAATTTCAGTTCTACAGACACCAACAGCCTTTGTCCAGTTACTTGCACCAGATACCTCCTGTTCTCTTCTCTTTCCTATAACCAATCAAAATTGCCAAGTCTGGTTGACCTATCTTCTAAACAACTGTGAAATCTACTCATTTATCACAACTCCACAACCACTTCTTTTATCTAGTTTACCACAATAGCAAATGGCCTCCCACGTGTCAACTTTTTACATCTCTACATCTTTCTTCTAGAATGAAACAAAACTGTCTTCTCAAACATAAATCTGATGACACCAATATTCTAGTTAAAACCTTATATGGTAAATCATTGCTCTCAGGATTAAAAGCAAAATCATCAGCACAGTCTTTAAGTTCTCTGATCGCCTCACATATTTACTCCCCTGCTTTCTAATACTCAGTTCGTTCACTGAATTCCAGATAATTATACTTTCTTTCAGGCACTTTAATGAATATTTTTCATCTTGTATTTATATAAATTATCTGAACTGCTCCATTTTTTTGGGGGGGAGGGGTCCTTCTCTTTTCTAACTTTTAAATCTTAACTCTTATGATTTGCTGAGGACAATCATTCACTACCCTCACATTTGGTCAGATACCTCTGCCATTTGTTCTCTTTTTCATTCTTGTATAATTTTTAAAAAGTCATTGTTGTATCCTCAGTGTCTCACATAGTGCTTTATATAAAATCTGTACTTAATGAATAAATTATTAAATAAATAATTGCACTAAATTTTTAATTTACTGTCTGATTATCATTCTATACATTAATTTTAAAATATTCAAAAATGCTTACTTGAAATTTTGTTGGGGCCTGCATGTGTATGGAAAATTAATCTTAAATATTCATGTCACAAATCTTTGATTACTCTTTACTTTTAGCACATATTTAGTTTAATGGCCATTGATGACTCTCTTCCTGGTATAAATTTTCTGCATGAGATAACATTAGAAAACAACTTTCCATGATTATATAAATAGCAGGTTTTTTTTTTTAATTCATATACCAGATAAATAAACTTTTCTCTCCTTACATGTTTTTGGAGGGGGAAGCATTCAATTGTGAAGAGATTTATTTAAATAATTAGCCAAAATTCTACTTTATAGTTTCATGAAAGGTCAGCATTACTCTTTAAACATGCCATGTTAGCAATGTACACAAAATTCCATTTTTTTACTATATCACGTACTACAGATATGTGATTATGATCCCAAGTGTGACTCTTCCTCAAAGAATTTTTTTAATAACAGGAAATACTTTGGGCTTTAACAGGTTTTTCACTTAATGATAAAGATCTCTATCATTATGTGACTATTTTCATTAGTCACATTATTATATCCATAAGGAAGTTAATCAAGCACTGTTAGTGAATTGGCCATAACATTCTAGAAATAGCACCTTTAAATTAGTGGGGAACTCCTATCCTTACTCAGATATCTCAGTGAGCCAAAAACAAGGCAAAATAAAAACTGTGTCATCTCAAAAACTGAA